ACATATTCGATGGATTAACCCGGCGGCACTTGACATTCCAAGTCTTAACGTCGTCTGGTGTTGCATACCTGCTATCACCTGTGGCATGGACTCTACCCTGCCATAAACCATTTCGTCCGTCGATGCCCAGGCTCGGTACACTGACCTACTGACGCAGGTTTCTACGCTGCAGGTGAATTTCCGTAAGGGTGAGTACTATTCAGTTTATTGGTCATTATTGTTTTATTAATTTCACCGAACTACAATCACTTCCCGTTTATTTTCTGTTACATTACCTTTTCGTTCACACGTTATTTGAAAAGGAAATTTACAAATTCGTAAAAAGGAATTTACAAAAATGTAAATGTGCATTCGTCTTTTTACGTTACACATAATTTGCCTACATTTACGTTTCATTCATTAATCTCTTTAAATAACAAACGACAGATGATAAAAAGTATGATTTTATTTGTTACGTTTTGTTTGTTTCCTATTATTATACGCGGTTTCCTGCGATGCATGGTGACCTACTTGTTCGGAGTTTCGTAGTACAAGCGTAGGGCGTAGCCACCGCTAGCGCGTGAACTCGGCTGGCAAACTCGCGCTCTGATTGGTCGCGGTTTTTCGTTAATATCTCGGTAACGAAGCCTCAGTTTACATTGTTGCTAAGGAAAAAGTTGTTCCAATTCACCCCCCGAGTGCCCCATTTCCGGGTCGGAGGACATTTTTGGGACACCCTATATAATTCACAGTGTTAAAACAAACAAGAGACCATCCCCAGAGCGAAAATTTTCTTTTACTTCGAACTAGCATTTGTAAAAAATTCAAAACTACAGTAAAACTTCAATTGTGCCCGAACGATCTACAGCGTAAGCGCCCGGTGTTCATTCCCACCACTGATGGGTGATTCCTCTGGACGCGTCGTGAAGCTCAGTACCTGCTCTTTCTTTTTCACTCGCTGTACTTTTGTACGTTCAGCGTTCATTCTGCAATGTATAAAATCTACATTATATTTAGAATCGATTCCTCTCCCAATTATCGGGCACTAATCCAAGTTTTACTGTATTAAATACACCTATTTGTTTATGCTTTAAAAAAACGATTAGAAAGAGTAAAACAGCCCCGCTAAATTTGCCGCTCAAAACATAATTGTTACGATTACGTATAAACTCACCGTTGTATTAAAAAATGTTTGAAACGAAAGTTGCTCAGTGTTTAACGTAGAATCAAGCGGGTGCATAAAAAAATGTATTGTCATTTTTATATCATTATAACATATTATTATATTTTTTTTATTTCTGCCTCGGAGCGAAATCTGACACTCGGACTGTCTTTGTCACACATATAAGCTACTCAGCAAAGGTACCTAGCGGCTCTAAAACGACAAAGCAGACGGCATGCCTTTCCAGTACTATAAGGAGAGAAATGCACTTTATTATACTCCGTACATTGTTCGCTCCAAATTTGTGCGCCACAATCATTTTTAGAAATTTCAAAAAGACTTCTTGACAGGCATTCAACTAGGGGGCATATAACTTGTGTCTCTTCCAATAGTGCGGAGACGCTGTTCCTTGACCTTCGATTTCATTTTTTGAAATGCAAAAGTAGGTAGTCGATCTCCTATCTCTCTCCCTTGTTCTACCTCTCTATCATGCGTCGAGAATAAGGGTTTAGGTGCCGCTGCAGTCATAAATATATAAAGATAGTCTGCTCGTCCAACGTGAAGAGCTGTCTTCAACATTAGAGAGAGAGGGGGAGGAGGGCAGGAGACGGGGAGAGGAGAGGTAAGGAGAGGGAGAGAGAGGGAGAGAGAGAGAGAGAGAGAGAAAGAGAGAGAGAGAGAGAGAG